AAATTCTATTTTTCGATTTTTTTTCTATTGGGCAGGATGAATAGGGTAGGGGGAAATGGTCAGAACATCCATGGGAGTCTTGCACTAATGTCGCTTCTACATCGCGTTTAGATTTAGAATTTTAACCCCGACTGATCCCTCACTAATTAATCGGTCTGCCCCCTAGTTGTGCCCCCATTTACAGGTAGTTAATGCCGCCACTGGTTATGGGTTAGTTACCTGAATATCAAACTCAAGAATAATATATAAACATGTTTAATCCATATAAGAACAATTAATGACTCTGCATGATGTCATTGATTGGTAATTATAAACAACCTAGGAAAAAGTATTAATTCACATCGATTATGCCCCTTGGTAGTCACGAGGACAACCCGACATAAAACAAACGCAAGGTTCAGTTACCAATGTACCCAATACTCTTGAATACGGCGAGAATATAAAAGATATTTAAAATCGATTCAATATAACCTGTTTTACATGTCACAACCACAGCTGAACCACGTTTGATTTTCTGCCCAGCAATTAACAAGTTACATAGATCCAGAATCAACAGTGAAATGCAAAATGGTGCGATTACGCCAAGATGACAAAATTCGCTACATCTTAAATGTAGTAGTAGTGATCATTGGCACGGCATCTGATCATCAGAGCGTTTTGAAATTCCTCAGACCAATCATCAAAGAGTTTATAGTCATTGGTTACGTCTCTTTCCTTGGAAGTAATTTGATATTATCGAAAGTGACTAATGTATTTGGAATACGTACGGCTGAATTTGTTTTAAGTTTAAGTGTAAGTTGATGTTAGTTAATTAGAAACTATTGACTCATAAAGACTCGCTCGTTACAGCTGTCAATAAATTATATTGTTTCGTATGAATTGCTATTTAATTAATATGTACCAATACAAAATGAAAAAAAAAAACCGCTCAGTCAATCCCTTGATGTATGATCGGACTATTTACGCACAAGAGCAACTAGAGAGACGGTTATGTTCAGGGTGTCTTCTTACCGGAAGTACACCTTAAAGATTTTCGCGGTAAATTAAAAGCTGGCGACGATTGGGTTAAAATAAATGATCTGAAATTGATTTCTTTTTGTTTTAAATGAGGCATAAAGATGTAAAAATTCAATAACTGTCTATCCTTCCGTTACAGACAATCGTCGGAAGACGCAATCTGAAAATAGACATAGTGGAAATAATGTTGTTAATGACCTGTATAGTTACTCAGGGTTAACGATGCTATAAAGAAAAATAATGAAATTAAAAACACAAAGCAACTCGTAGTGATCAATTTGGTCATAAAGTTTACTTGTTTAATGAATGGTACGTCCGGCACAACGTTTACTAAAAGCTGTTTCACACATAAAGTTTTTCACATTGTCAGTGTTCGGATACAGTGCCCTGTTTCACAGAAACACAAATAGTATCAAGTAACAAGAAGCAAAATTAAGAATCGATATGAATATTTCATACTGGTAATTGTTACTGTACTGTAAAATATTTTTATTTAAAATCAAAGCTGCCAGTGGACGTATATCACCTTGTATGGCAAGCTAACTTAATTCATCTTGATTTATCAGTAAATCTTACTATTGAAGTTAATTCGAGAATGTGTGAACATTCTTTAACGCAATGCATTTTTTAGATTGTTTACTCTGACTGTTACGATTGTAGCTTTCTGTTTAATTGTTGTTGAAAAAGCTTTAGGAAATGCAACATTGGTTTATTTTAAGCTCAAGTCCAAATACGATTACACTACCTCTATGGGGGGCAGTGGGAGCTATTTGCACCAGATTGCCCTATCTATAGCACAGTAACAGCCGACAAGGTACAATGCAGAAAAGAAGCGCCACTTCTTAAAGGGGTATTCCATTTTCTTGTAAAAAGTCTTCATTATCGAAAACGTCGTAAATTATACCTGAAAATATTTCTAAAGTATGCTATTTATATCTATGTATTTTCTTGATCAAACTGGATTTGTTTTAGAAGGGTTGATTAAAAAAAGGACCAATTGTTTATTAAGCAGTTTGATCTAGCGTTGGTGTTTGGCTTTATAATGACTCGATATTATTAGTTGAAACCTTTAGAATACGTTGGAGACATATTTTTCTACAATATTAGGCGTTTTATTTTATTCAAATCCTTACATTATTTTTCTAAAAACTTCCAAAAAGCAGAACTAACTTAAAAACCTTACGTAATGTTTTAAAATACTTTTGGCGTTTAAATATTAACGGCTGGATTATTTTAGTTATAACTTTCAGATACATTAAAGGGCACATTTCCCTAGATTTTGGTGTAAATATAGTTTTCACAAATTTGAATAAAATAAATTTTCGACCTACAAAAATTCGGAATGCCCCTTTAATCATATAGTGGTATAAGAGGTTAATATTGTCATTCGGAGTAATTGTTGTTTACATGAAGAGTATTGTTTGAGTTCAAATCAGACCTTAGAGAAGTCCTTATATAGTCAAGTACTAATTGTCTTATGAAGAGTTGTATTATATCCAGACGTACATCGCTATCGATAACAATTTACTTCATTTCAATTACTCATCGACGTTCCTTAATATACAGTTCTGTCTGTAGTAGCCATGTTATCCATTGTATTATATTGAGTCAGACCTCATCCATTATTGAAACAATGTTTTGTCTTTCATTGAACGCTGGGATATAGAACTGTGGTGGTTCGGCAAGTTGGCTTGATAAGAAAGTTTCGTGTTCAATACCAGTTCCCCATCTTAAGGTTTTTTCTAATCAGGTTCTGATTGGATAAATAGGTTCGATACACTACTCAAGATCTATGTCGAGAGATCGTAAACCAAAATGATTCAGAGAATACTCATTCAATAGTTTTCTCGTCTTCTCAAGACAAAAACCAAAACATAAGATTCCTTAAAGGGGTTCGTTTCATTTTATTGTTTACCTACCTAGTAACCTTCGTGCAAATTAATATATAAAAGTACATGGTAGTTAATTGCGTCTGTGTGAGAGCACTTCAAAACTAGAGAATGATCTGCTTTGAGGAAATTCTTATAATCATAAATTAATATTTCCTTTTTTTACTTATAATAAGCGACTATTATACTGATATTTCTGGAAAAGCTTAGCTCGATTATTAGGCCAAGGAGACCTGTACCCGGGAGGGGGTGGTGGGGGGGGGGGGAGGGGTGATTGCCCCCCTGTTACTTCGGGCCTGCAAGCAAGGTTGTTTCTAAAGCAAGGAAAGTTATTTGTGTTAATTGTATCTTATCATGGGTTGTTCCCCTTTGTTCGATTTGACAAACATCTTCACCTTATCTTGTATTGAACATTTATCTCTTTATTTGTGACCTTGGCCAGTGCTTTACATAGAAGTTTTTAGGAACTTCTTCACTCTTAACACATTTTTAAAAAGCTCTCTGATTAGACGGTCCGTTTAGATACATTGTATAAATGCGAGGTATCGGTAATACGAGCCACTCATTTTTATAACAAAGATTACTATGCAAGGGATATCATTCATTTTGAAGTAAATTGTTTAAATTAAAAACTTTTAACAACCTACCAATTCCATCACTACAACTAAACACCATCACACATCATTGTTCTTCTGGATGTTTTACTTGCCCCTTGGTTCATGTCTAATATCTCACAAGATAAACCCACTTGGTAAAAATGATTTAAAAGAAGAATTGTAGTCTCAGCCTGTGTATCGGGGTCACTTACAGCTCTTTTATTTGTACCAACATGTATTTTCGACCGACGTAAAAGTACATGTAAAAGTTCATATAGCGTTCGAATTATTTAAAAAAAAAAACATCAATTTTATCCCCGGACTTGCAAAAACCACCTTCGTCTGGTACACACACACAGGATTGAAGACTAGAACTAGGAAATATAGTAGCATGTCTCATACTGTATCTCTTATTAGACAGAAACATCTGTATCCTTTCCAGTCTCTGATTGCTTTTTGAACAGTTGTCGGCTGGTGTCGAAATATCCACCAGAGGCTGGAATAGAGGCAGATGTTTGGGAATCATCTCAGACAAGCTTTTTAACTGGTGGCATTTGAGCACCAAATAACAGCAAGGGTTGACTATAACTGCTCTATAATGTTTGTCGCACGACATTCGTGTTTTCAACTGGTGTGAAAATTGGTGATTGTTGTTTAATATTATTTGTGATGATTATAAAGATTTTTGTTTAAAATTGTATCTCATATGACCAGATTGCAATAGAAAATGTGAAGATGTTCAAATTGTCTCAATTGACCCCGATAAACAGCAGCCTCCATTTTCTTCGAGACCGAGAGCCTACCCAGGCTGAGGGGCATACTGATTTAATAGGGATGCAGCTATCACGGTTGAGTGCATAGTGCATGCATAGGCGTATCAAGCGTTTGAGAGAGTCACCCAACCTCCCCCACCCTATACCCTGACTGGCGCCTCCACTGATAAAAATCCTCCTAAGACGAAATAACGTATTAAACGTCACATTTTGAGAGATCTCTAATATAATAAAACAATGACTTTTTGAGTTTTTAATAGATCGATACAGAAATAATAAAAAGAAAAGACATGAAATCTGAATTATAAAAACATAAAAACCTGAGTATGAAAAATGTTAAGTTGTGTAAACCTAGGAAGATTTCAAAAGTTATTGCTTAACGGATTTCCAAGTAAAATGTAAAACTTTGTTTTTAAAAAAAAGAAACTGTTCTGTTGACATTGGTTACAAATCATGCTTTTTGTTGAAACGAGATTCAGACATGAACGCGGTCACGATGAACATGGACATGGATGTCAAACAAGTTGAAAAACAGGTAAAATACATTTTGGGTTCAAAAATAACATGAACAGTGTCATTTGTTGACTTGTAACAACCTCTATACATGAACCCGAACATGTCGGCAGATCAAAGTAGGTTATACTCTTTATATAACCTTTTTTTGAATGGCAATAAACTTTCGCATTCACTAATTAGACTGGCTAAAGCATTTGTAGAGCGCCACCTGTCGGGCTAAATAAGTCTAGATTGAATTAAAACACTGGTAAATCTCTCTTTGGTTCTTGTTCTCTGGTACAATCTGCTTCCTTGCGGCTAAAGGAGTGTTAGCTTTTTATTGAAACACATTTTAGCTTTGGAAGACAGAACACACTTCTCCATACCACCGTTATCTGGTTTTGAGATATATTGTGACGTAATCAATTTATGAGTAGCATAATGCAAGTATAGAATACGTCATACAATGTTCATAAACGTGCCCTATTTCTAATATTTTTTCTGAACAGTCTTTTCGCTTCCTTTCGGAAAGTATAACTGGTTAAAACAAAACATATCACATTGACGGAGTAGCTTGCAAGAGTCACTACGTCGGCTATTAACAGTGGAATAGAATCGTCGTTATAATACGTCCGCCATTGTCCGGGTAATGGCTTAATGGTATGAATATTCCAGAAAAAGTCAGAATGTGTTGCTACGAAGTATTGAATGAGATGGACAATGGCGTAACACAATTCACTTAACGCTAACCATAAAGATATTGCTAAAAACGCTGCATTTATTGAGAGTTTTTCGGGAACCATAGACGTACTATATGCCACGCTATGATTACTGTTTCGTCGCTTAACCTTGCACAATACTGTCAAATTAATAAATAAAATAGTAAATATAGGCAACATAAACATAAGAAATAACACACACGTGCCGTATATCCATAACAGTCGACGCGGAATATTTTGTCTGTGGACGCACAATTTGTTTTCGTCAACGTTCCAGATATATCCTTCCATAAAGCTTCCCAGAACAGATACAATGGCCATTAAAATGATGGTTTTCTTCGTTCGCGATACCGTGACTAATTTTTCTCCTTTTAAAGGGTGGCACACCTCTATATATCGCTCGACACTCAAGCCTAAAACTAATAAAATAGCAAAACTTTGAACAGCTAAAAACATGAGATGGACACTTTGACACAAGCCATCAATACTGAGGTCCACGATATTTTCAAGAGCATGAGTAAACAGCACCAATGTATCTGCCACACTGATTGCAATGAAATATTTCACTGGTGATGATTTGGCTCTTGCTCTGCTCCACACAATTACAGCAAACACATTTCCGGCTAATCCAATACCATATAGGATCCTATACACATACGTTGTTATGATGTATTCCACTCTCACATACGCCAGATGTGACGGGAGGGTTGAAGTCAAATTTGAATCCATGCTGGAGTTATCTTCCATTATTTGATCGCGAGACGAAATCCTTTAAAACCATGAATTACGTGAAAAAAAAACGTAATTTGTCGTCTAATGGTATTTTGGCACACCAATTAAGTAGCAGAAGATTCGATTTTCTCAGTTTTTTTCAGTAATCTTCCATTTTCTAATCGCGAGTACACAGTAACATCTAAAACATCAAAGCCTTACTTTTATGGGAGAACTGTAATTTCTCATCAAATCGACACACCAAATGAGTCTTCCTCTATCCAAATTGAAGAGTGGTTGTTTATGAGACTGGTTCGTTTGACTCTTTCTAAACACTTCGCAGTGTTACTTATATCAGTTATCTTCTAGTGATCTCTAGCTCTTGTGAATGTATTCAGATTACTCAAATCAACGGAGACGCATTATTTATTCACTTTACCACATTTCATCAATAACACGTCAATAAGTCTGTTAAACTGTTACATGGAATTGATTAGTTTTTAATTTTATTCACCAATAGAGATTGCTTTGAGGTCTGCTATCATTCATCTTTGTATCAACATTCAATTCCCTTCATCTATCTTACTTGAATAACTGTAATATAAGATATTAAAGTGAATTTACTAACATGCTATATATTATTATGCAATCGACCATTGCATTTCAGTTTCAGTTCAATTTATTTTTTCTGCACCAAGTACGACATCTGGTGGCACTTCTCTTTGGAGGAATAAATAAACCAAGTACTAACAATCCAAACCGGAAAACGAAACCGAAATCCAAAACACAATTGTCTTGTTTCTATGCAATTGAGCAAGGATCGTAAAAGGTGTAGAAAGAAAAAGGTTGAACGCCCATCCTCTCAATATAAGAATACATCTTTATCTTATATAAAATCTTTATCAGCAAGAGAACGAAAAATATAACTTAAGAAGTCGACTGGATTCCTTCAACTACAAATTTGAATATTTTATTGAATGATACAGTAACCTCTCTATTCTCAGTTAGATTATGAAGAGATACAGCGATTAGAGTTGACAAATATTCTCTAAGGTACCTCATTACAATATTTGTAACTATAGCAGTCCTTTGTTTTTATCACGATTCGAAGTCGGATTATCAATAATACCAACGATTATCTATTGTGTGGTTAAGCTGTCACGATTACACTACATAACTTTGAATCATTGAAATTTTAATTGTGGCTGCCATTGAAGACACACAACTAACAAATCTTCCATTTTGTAATCGCAAGAAAAAATCTAGTCAGTTTCTCTTTCTAGGAAACATTAGGTGAGGAAACAGTGCAGGGGCCACAAAATTTTATGATAAAAAATATGAAACCCCATGTACATAATAGGACCATGTCTGACCCATGTAAAATAAAGAGTTTATTATTATTATTATTATTATTATTATTATTATTATTACTACCGCCAACCGATACAAACGCCAACTGAATCTAGAAATGTCAAAATCGTTACGATATATGGAAGTCGTATGAATTGTAATATGTGATCTGAGACACAAAAAGGTCTTCCTCTATTCAAATTAGAGAATGGGAACTCTCTTTTTCCCGAAAACTTCATCAGTTACATTAGTCCAAAGGTCAAAAACATTCTATACCATCTTCCCCCGAAACACCTCAATCAATATTACATCTTTGATAAAGATATTTAAGAAAGAGAAGAAGAAAATTGCTAATTGGAAACATATACCTGTACAAGAAATAAGGACAAAAAACCATGATAATATAATTTAGGTGTTCATCGAGTTGTTTTGGTCCGGTTGCCCTGATGTCCTAAAATTCAAATCCTATTTCGAATGCCCACAGTTTTAGACTAAACAAACAAAAACAAAGGCGATACTCACCACTATGTATCCTAAGAATGACAATTATTCTTGGTTCCTATACAGCACTGGAAAACAAACAACTTCTAGTCTCCAAAGAACAATCAATCTTAATTTTCTCATTAAGTAGACGGTTATGTAATTAAAGGATAGAAGAAATTGTCTTTCTAATTTTTCTTATGTTAGTTGGTTTAGAGATTAGGGTGATTGAAAAGTAACAAGTTACTATTCAATATAAGGCACTGGCACAGGGTTAAAGTTATGTTTACAATAATTGTGATGCTAATATGCAATGAACTAAATCAAAGAAAATCATAACGGTTATCATATAGTAATAATAAAATGAACAAACTATGTCTGAAATTCCCAATACTGATAGAATTTCTTAGTCTGTGTCATCACGATACACAATCAGCATTAATATGTTTACAAACAGTCTTAACTCGGTTTGTAGATGTCCTTGTGAATTATTAGTTATTTTCTTAAGCTATCACTTCACGATATTCCCAATACGTTGTATCAAATGACGAATGTCTACATTAAGCCTCGTGGGAGCTATTCCAATACCGTTGTTCTTATTTTAAGATCACTTTAGTCTCGTATTGTCGACACGATTCTTCAGAATCTAACCTTTTCCCACAAGCGTCAACTTTCTGAAATCGAGAGGAAATACAGCACCAAGACACGATACAACAAGGACGCTAAGTACTACTACCCACACGTGTGATAAAGTCACAGCCAAACCTTACTCGGACACAACACGGGACATCCTATCCTATTATACTGCTTCTTCCTCGTTGTGGTCAACTCATCTGTTTTCAATACGACACAACATTTGTCAGTGATCATAGTATACACGACTATCGCCCGTCCACCTGTATAACGCCCGAGGCTTGTCTTTACTCTAAGCTTGAGTAACGTCGCCTTTAACAATAAACCATTCTGATGACAACAACTAACTTAAATGCTAAAACCGTCTTAGGTAACGTTACTAAATCATAGTATTATAAACCAATGGTACTGTAGTGAAACAATCCATGAACTAATTTCAGATACCTGCAATCATTTGACCTGATTTTAAACCATTGAAACTGGACGATCAAAATTAATTGTTATAACACATCAAGCACAACCTACCTTCTTCAGCTACTATTCATTATGAGACAACGGATTATCTGTTTCAGCTTGACCACCGAACGTTTTATATAGAAATCTCCCTATTTCTGTCCAGAAGAGGCGTTCATTGAAGAACAGTGTTGTCACAAATTGTAATTATTGAATAACGTCTTGCATGGTCCTTGATATCTTCACTTATTAAAACTCCTTTGCAAGCACTTTACGGTGCTATGAAAATATTTAGTAACTACTTCGGGTTTTAGTCAACTTGGCACCTAACCAAAATTGCTCCAAATTTGGTCAACATTGAAATTTGATTTCTGCATTTGAGAAAGGCTACAGGTTTTAAAACGTGGTAAAATTGATTGAACCGGCTCAACAAATATTGGCTCAATTATAGTACGCTTAATCCGAAAATACTATGATTAACGTTGGCAACCGTTGTTCAACGTTATTCAATCACTATAAAAAAAACCGTCGATGATCGGGTAACTGAGTACAAATAGATCACATTACAGCTTAAAGATCAATGAACTAATTTCACAACTTCCACTAATTAAGTAGAGTCAAAGCAGATTTCATTAAACAATGACCAGGGATTATCATAATCCAGAAAATTAGAAACCAGGGGATTATATTGATTAGCCTAAAATTTTCGATAAGCTCATATCATATCACCTTGCTATGGAAGCCGGCTGCGGCCATATCTTCTCTCAACTTCTCGCTCACGAGAAAGCGAGGAAGCTTGACTTCTCGCCCACGAGAAAGCGAGGAAAAAGGCGAGATAGCAAAGGTAAAACAAACGAAGAAATAGGCGGGGAAAAAGGCGAGAAAGCAAGGAATAAGGCGAGAAAGCGAGGAAAATTTTCGAATTCTCACCATTTTTACTCTCGCTTTCTCGCCATTTTCCTCGCCTCTTTTTTACCCTCGTTTTCTCGCCCTTTTCCTTGCTTTCTCGCCCTTTTCCTCGCTTTTTCGCCTTTTTTCTTCGCTTTCTCGCCTTTTTCCTCACTTTTCCGCCTTTTCCTCGCTTTCTCGGTTTTTTCCTTGCTTTCTCGCCCTTTTTCTCGCCTTTTTCCTCACTTTCTCGCCTTCTCGCCTCGCCTTCTCGCCTCTTTCCTTGCCTTCTCGCCTCTTTCGTCGCCTTTTTCCTCGCTTTCTCGCATTTTTCCTCGCTTTCTCGCATTTTTCCTCCCTTTCTCGCCTTTTCCTCGCTTTCTCGCCTTTTTCCCCACGAGGAAACTCCATTGCTTTTCGTCATTTTATCTCTGAATTTCTAACACATTATTTTGTGTAATTAGTCAGACACCATAGGGGTGCCTCAAGAACTGATAACAGAATTAAAGTTGTTAATTTCCCTGCCTAATGAATTTCTGTACCCTTTGTACTTGTAGATATAGTTATGTAGATTTCCACGTGATTATTGCTGAATTTCATTACGCACGTGAACAGAAACATGCCAAGAACCTATTATCATCCAAGATCTTGTCTTCGTTTGAGGACAATGAACTGAAATGAATGTTCCGTACTTGTGGGCAGATTTAATGGATCTTTAAAAATTAATCTGGTAATCGAGGACATTTCGTGTTTACTAGTCAGTTAACAAAGTACCAGAGGAAATTTCAAAATTATTATCAGAATCAATCTGATAGCATGTGGTCAACCTACAGACGGATATTACCGAATCATATTTAAATATTACAATATTTATCTCCAATGATCAGAGCTATACAGATTGATACAGTGGTTGGATTCAGAAGTACGGTTATTTGATTATATTCATCGGCGCTATCAACGGAAATACACTATAAAGATGGTTTCTCAGCATGTTTACCGGAAGTAATTTATTACTGATATTCATCTCCTGAACCACCCTTTTGTATTACTACTACTTCCGGTACAGATTCTGTAGCGGTATCTTTATAGTGCACTTTCAATGAACAAGTCACCTCAGTCGAATAGATATCGAAAATAACGCTGTTATAGCCAACAACATGTGGTAATCAAGCACCCGCAACTGACACTGTCTCTTATTCTGCTGCATGTCAATGCGAGTGCCTTCTTTTAGCGATCTGTCAGCCACCAACTACTACAAAACAATCTAACGACCAATTCCCCAACCCTGTGAACTCAGCACACAGTGTTTCTATGTAACTATGAACCATTGTAAATGGAGTGTTTGTACATTTTCGAGGTGATGTACTAGCTACCATTGTGTCCACCCAGGTGCCCGAACAACCTCGTTCACTGTACTTTCAATGCAGTTCAGACTAAGATTGGTCCATAAAACTGGCTAAGATATCGTGTGGACAACGCATTAATGTTGCACACACTTTCGTTTCTTTATGAACATGATTGACAGAAGATTATGAATGTAAAATGACATTAAAAATGACAGTGACAGGTATTAGTGTGTTAATAATAGCACAGTATCTGTTTATATAACACAATTCATTATGTGGTTAGACAAGAATTTCACATTGTGGTATTTCTGTCAGATTAATGCCATCGACCGAGTAACACTGACCAGGAAGAATTTTTATCAAAAATTGTGTTGCGAGTCTGTATGAGTTTTACATTGACGTTATTTATAGACACATTCAACAATCTTAATCAGTTTTTACACCATACCAATCGACTCTTTTCATGTGAGAGGGGTTGCCCTTATTCTTAAATCAAAAATCGTACAAGCAAGACAATTCCGTTAATCAAAATCTCGTCCAAAGTATTGAAAATCGAGAGTGAAAGAAGTATAGTAGTGAACTCCTACATAGAGATGTTTCATATTTTATTCTCCAATGGCATGTGTGTGTGTGTATTTACAAAACAAACCGTATGAAGAAGCGTTGTCATTGGTCGGTTTGAAAATCACGTGGCATCATAAATATGTATTTCCCGAGGCCTAAATATTACGTTTACACACTAAAGTGCAGCATGTATGCTTCACCCTCATTCTCATCATTCTTAACCTTCCTCCTGTGTAGCTCGTCCGTACGTAGTCATATTTGCATTGTCGAAGGGGGTTCCGCCTAAAAGGCAAATCAAACAGAGGCCTATCACATATGTCACAAAACCTCAAAATCTTTTTAATACCAAAGTTGTAGCAAAATTCTTATCTGTTCGAGAAAGAATGTACGAATTTGTACTAAATTCATCACTACACCCTAAATTTTATGGCCAAATATAATGTATGACAAGTTATGAAATAAATCACATCCCTGGGTCATAGGTCACCATAAATATTTCATATATCAAACAAATATACAGACACAAAACAATCAGAATTTTGATGGATGTGTCCATTTTACGGTTGTTTGTTTTCTCATTTTTGTCAGTTACATAGACTTAAAATTTAATTAAGGGACTTGGTCTGATTTGCAGACAATATTAGCCGCGGGTCTGAATGAAATGAAATGAAAATGAATGGAGTTTTACGTTCTACTTTTCTGCACCCTTTGCGATTAGTGACGTCATCAAACACTTAGTTTAAGGGGGTATTCCGCTATTTTGTAAAAAAGTGTTTAATATCAAAAACGTTGTAAGTTATGCCTGAAAATATTTCTAAAGTATGCTATTTATATCTATGTATCTTATTGATCAAACTGAATTTGTTTTATAATTATAAATTGTTAATTAAGCATTAATTAGTTTTTTGCCTTTATAATGGCTCTGTATTTGCCTTTAAGTGGAATTCCAAGAACCACAGACGAAATTTGAATGGTGCAAATTATGCTAACAGTGTCCCCGATACATAATAAACCATGTAGAAAACCTCTTTACAATCCCTTTAATATTTCTGATTCAGGTGCTAGATATCTGTTATACTCATCTTGACGTCAATATCTATAGAACTTAATCCAGTTATCGTAATCGATCGAATTTAATATTTCTGGCGCCTAATCAAAACATTAATATTTTAATATTCCAGTTATTTGATTCAATTTCTGCCCCAATGCCTCTACCTAAAACTTATAATAATTTCAAATCCTGAAACTAAATATCCTGTCCTGACACTCAATTGTCTAGTGTGACTGAAATCATACATACCTCTGGCAAGCTTCTTCAAGTAATTAAATTGACAGTCGTGGAATCCTAAATCGGTCTTCTCGAGCAACCAACTTGCATTTCATTCGGATACCCGACAATAATTTCAAACACTTAATTTCATTTTCTCTTCGCTCCATGACACTTTCTCAGACACCCAATTCTATTATCACCAACACTCAGTTAATTTTTCTAAGACGCTTTCAGTTGCTTACCTTAATCTTGTCGAGCGACGACGTAATTACTTCAAGTTAGATCGCACCATGTCCTCTGAAAAATTATTAATATCAAGCTGTAAAAGTTCAGACGATGATGTCAGAAAGTAGTGAATGGCCACGTATCACCTCCGAGCTCAGACAGTAGTTTGTTGATTTTGCAATCATTCGGTGCAATACAATTATCTATCTTTAGATATTCATAACTGATACATTTTGAACTTTGGTACAGAATACTGACGCTATTCAAATGTTATTTAAACCAAATAACTAGAAATTATCTCTGTCTCCAGTAGGTAAATGAAGTATGATAAACATAATTCGTTAACATTAAAATATATGATACACTTGCTAATAAAGAATGTGGTGAAATTAAATCAAAACTTTTATCTGATTTCGGTACAAGCCAGCACAGTTTGACTCTTCACAGAAAATTTGTTCGATATAGAACGTGACATTAGACACAAGTTCAAAACATTGGTGCCTTTACTATTAGCTCAAAAGCATTGGATCAGTTTGAATAGGCATTGTGTTGAAATATGTCCCCATATCAATCTCTGTAGCAATTCACAATAAGTCAATTGATTCTGAATAGGAGCCAATCAAGGCTACCATTAACGATATAGGATCCAAAAACAAGTGTTTTAGATGTTTAAATATATCTTCAAAGGGAAGCTATGGTGTTTAAATGTTAAGTGGTTAGATTTTATGTTCGACCCGACCATGACATTGGCTTCTGTATCAAAGCATTTAGTGTATATTGAAACGAATCTATTAAGCTAATTGCTAGTTGCTACAGATCACGACTTTTATATAAGCCATTAGAGAGAGGCTGTTGTTAAGGTGAAAGCTTGCTTTGTTTCTCTTGGAATCTGAAAGTCCATCTTGGCGTAGCCCTGAACAAATGTTGGTTCTTTACACATTTCCAATGTCATTCAGAGTGCACAGTTTGTAAATGTTAAATAACTAATCCGGCATTCCACAGATCATCCACGATACAGGTCCGATACACCGTACTGGTGAGTTTCGCTAAATGAAAATTAATCTCAGTACCTATCAGTAATTTAGTCAGCATCCAGCAAATCCGCAACTGGTTATTCATAAAAGTTAAAACAGAAAAAGAAATACTTTCAATTTATAGATGATCGTTCAAGTTGGGTAATAGACACTGACTCTACATATTGATTCAAGCGTTTAAAATCACATCAATACCTATACTAGAATTGCTAGTTATCGTGATATAGAAGTCCTGCTGTTGAATTGAATATCATAGATGCTATAGACTGTACTGACATTAAAAAAGGACATTGAAATAATAAATCTATGGTTTGGTGTGCCACAGGCTGTGCACGTTGAAAAAACCATTCACCCAAGTTCAAGTAGAGGAAGCAAACACTGACTAGAACAAATTGATTCCAACTTTTGAATACCGCACCAATACCTCTACCGGAAATGATAATTATCGTGATACAGAAAATCCAACTGTTGTATATCATATAGATACGAAAGCGGAAGTCAAACGAAATGACAGTGTGAATGTCCCGTTACAGATCACTAGGTATATGATATTCTATATTAAAGTTATAGTTTTGCCACGAGTCTATTGTTATTGTAAAGTAATAAAACATTTAATTGTTGACAATGATGACACAAGATTGTCTTCCTTTTCCAAAACATTGACAGTGTTTTTGTTTACTGTTTATTTTGTTGCTGTTATTTGTCATAAATTTCTGACTCGAGTCACGATGCGTATCAGATAATTGAATTAATTTTGTAATGTTTACTTCTATTGTTTTTTACTAATTCAGTTTACTATGTACTATTTTTCAGTCAGTGGTAGAACAGTTGAATTTTCCTTGCCTTGTTTTAATCATGAAGAGTTATTGGCCTAATTTTAATTCATAATGAGAAAATGATGTGATCCATAGAACAGATTAAAACCGATAACAACCTTATTAGCATATTCACATATTTAACTAAGAATGATGCTGTTAATGATTGT